TATACCGTTAATCGCTTCCTGAAAATGTGGTATATTTGCCTTCTGCGGCAGGATGTACGTCTTGCGGGAAAGCTTACAAGCGGAAACTCTATTATGGATTATAAGTGGGATGTGGTCCGAACTCAATTCAAGAATTTCAGAGATGGTTAAAAAATCAAAACGAATTCCTTTGTAGATGGCGAAGTCTATGGCTGATGGCATGCGTTGGTTGTATGGGTATAGGATGTGAGTATAATATCCTCTAGAGTTCTGCCCCTGTTTGTAGAGTTACGTGATCCCCTGAGACGATGATGGGCATTCCATTCCCCTGCAATTATAAAATTTGGTCTAAGCTCACTTAGAAGCTCGTCATAGTAATTAGCTGTGAACTGAGAATTGTTTGAGGTTCCACACATAAGAATTGGTAGTATTTAAGTCACGATTTGATGATAATTGCGCATCCTTCGCGATGGCGATCAGCAGGATGGTTTAACAGATGAACGTCGTATCTCCTTAGCTGGTGGTATGATTTAGAGCAGAAGTCAGTTTCGCTGACTCGATATGATGTTGCTTTACAAAAAGCTCCATCTCCCCACACCGATTTTGAGTTAAATTTGACGCATGGGTGGGCTGGAAAGGCAGAGGGGAGACCAGCGACGGCTTGTGCAGATCCTGGCGCTCTTTGGGGTTATAAGCGACATCATTGACATCATCATCTGGAGCATTTTGTCTAACCGAGCAACGAGGTCAAACAATTTTTCTTCAGATGGTAAATACATTTATTCTTGCCGTTTCCATCGCTGATCGTTTTGAAATTGCTGGAAGGACTGTTGCTTCTGTTGGCGTGTCTCTGGTTATTGTTGTTGGTCAAGGGCTGTAGTCTGTAAGGTTTGTAACTGTACCCGAGGATGGTCCTTTGTTCCCAGTGCAGGGAATTGGTTCTGGTGCTGGTTCGCAGATTGCTGTAACTGGTGTCACCCTGTTGAGTTTGCTGTCGAAAATGACCATTGGTGACATTTGCGTATGACAAAGCTCCCACGACATCCGATCGAACAGTAGTCCTTTTTGTATGGGATTTTTGGGGGAGAGCGTTACCTTAGGATGGATGCCTTACTGCCTGCTGGTAGACAACACAGCCCTTCTAATTTGCTGTGTGATTTTCACCACAATTTACACATTTAACGGGATGAATATCTCGTTCGCAGGCCTCTATAGCATGTTTCTAACCAAGCAGTTGTTCTTTGTATGGTTGAAATCCTGGCATTGTACGACTTCATCCTTTTTTGTAGGGTAATTCCACTTGAACAATAGTCTTCACTTCATGAATTTCGTTGTTGGTTGAAGATCGCTCTAGTTCAACAAACACAAGGTTGACGTACTTTGTTTTGACCAAATGTCTTTTTGGTCTATTAATGAAACGAACAATATGGCCAAGAAAGGTTAGGCTTTCTTGAATGTGTTCATACCTCAAATAAACTCGCGATAAGATCAGTCCTCTTTAAGCTGCCAGGAGTGGACTAGAATATGTTGCAGAGGAGCAGTCGTAGCCCTAAGGCGTGCACCTTGCATCCAGAAGGCACCAAGAACCAGGTTCACATACGGGGAACGGATGTCTGTTTATACCCGTTACTCGTAGAGTAAAAGGGTATATTGTATTCGTGCAAAAGTATGTAACAGCTAGAAGGAAGCGTTTCCGACCCTATAAAGTATATATATTCTTGATCAGGATCACTAGCCGAGTCGATCTAGCCATGTCCGTCTGTCCGTCTGTCTGTCCGTCTGTCTGTCCGTCTGTCTGTCCGTCTGCCTGTCCGTATGAACGCTGAGATCTCGGAAACTATAAAAGCTAGAAGATTGGCATTTTGCATGTAGATTTTAGAAGTTCCTACGCAGCGCAAGTTTGTTTCAAAATGGTGCCACGCCCCCTTTAACGCCCACAATCGCTTATATACGATTTTAATAATTTTAATATTTCGGAAAAGTAAAAATGCAGTTTTATTGTGTTTATCAATACCTATCGAAATGTAGAAGAAATTTTTCAAATCGGACCATTCGTTAAAAAGTTATGCGTGATCAAAGTTTCTATCTCCATCTCCCTCGCACTCCCTTTACCTGAGTAACGGGTATCTGATAGTCGGGGCACCCGACTATAGCGTTCTCTCTTGTTTTTATTTTATTTTTATTAAGTTTATGTTTGAAATTGAATTCGAATTTGAATTGAAAGATCAACAAACTGCAACTGTTGCCTTTTGACCTTTTTCACATGTTTTCGCTATACACCAGAGCGGGGCGTCTGAGCACTATCACTGCAGTTTTAGCTGCCGGGCTTACCAAAACAAATTTTTTTGCCACGAAAGTGGATTTGTCCATAGAATCCTCACTAAGAATTTCGCAGCGATGCAAAAACGTGTCTGCACTCTTTGAAAGCATGATCGAGACTGTACGTTGGAGATCACTCTCTGGTTGCTGATTAGGAGTTTAACACGAACGTCCGAAACAATTGCATAAATTCAGAATAAAAATTGGGGGCTACACGTGGGTTTCGACCATGCTTTTTGCCATTCGCAACGAAACTGTGAGTTTTTGAGGAAAGATGGAAAAAACTAACAGTATAATTAAATCAAATTGTTATAGGTTCGTTGTTTTTCTAGGTCTTGTTTTTTAAATGACAACATATAATAACTGGCATAAAAGAATGATCACCTAAATATATTTAACCCTTACAGAGGGAATTATAATTTTATTTATAATATAATAATAATTTTAGTTATAATATAATTATAATTGTATATGTACCGCACTGGTCAGAGGATGATCATCATGCAATACCAATATATTTTTTGTTGTTTATCAATACCTTAAATTTAATCATAATCGTTTGACTATACATACGACCGTATGGCTCTATCACTAACCATACAACGTATAGACTGGTCATTTCATACAACGAAAATGGACACAAAAATTTCTTAGCGACAGACTCCAGGGCTCTTGGCAGCAGGCCCCGGACGCTTCGTGTGCGTTCGGGTTTTTTGCGCTCCCATTCTTATTCTCATTTTGATGCTCGCGCACTCATTGCACGAGTTCGTTCGTTCAGTCGCAGAGAAGCGCATTTTGAAGAAGATTGCGCCTGCGCTTGAATTGGTCTTTATATGTATGCGTGTTCATGCATTCTCATACAGGGGTGCATGTGTGCGTTTATTTCAATTCGATGCGACAAAAATATTTTGTCCGTTGCTACTTTTCATAATGTGTACCCTAACAATATGGGCGTATTCACTATTGGGTTAACGATACAAATTAGAATAGTATATGTTATAATATATTTATACCCGTTACTCGTAGAGTAAAAGGGTATATTGTATTCGTGCAAAAGTATGTAACAGGTAGAAGGAAGCGTTTCCGACCCTATAAAGTATATATATTCTTGTTCAGGATCACTAGCCGAGTCGATCTAGCCATGTCCGTCTGTCCGTCTGTCTGTCCGTCTGTCTGTCTGTCCGTCTGTCTGTCCGTCTGTCCGTCTGTCCGTCTGTCCGTCTGTCTGTCTGTCTGTCCGTATGAACGCTGAGATCTCGGAAACTATAAAAGCTAGAAGATTGGCATTTTGCATGCAGATTCTAGGAGTTCCTACGCAGCGCAAGTTTGTTTCAAAATGGTGCCACGCCCCCTTTAACGCCCACAATCGCTTATATACGATTTTAAAAATTTAAACATTTCGGAAAAGTAAAAATGCAGTTTTATTGTGTTTATCAATACCTATCGAATACCCATCTCCCTCGCACTCCCTTTACCTGAGTAACGGGTATCTGATAGTCGGGGCACCCGACTATAGCGTTCTCTCTTGTTTTTAATATTACAGTATAATTTTCATTTTGGTTTACAAATTCAAATCAGTGGTAGCAGCAAAATGTTTTGCATATATGTATGTATTCCAAGGGCATATCGCAGTCGGTGTCACTTAAAACACCGACTGCTCCTAAGTGGTTGAGAAAACTTCAAACCAAATTAGCTTTGGTTGTTGTTCTGCGAGCGGATGGTGCCTGCACACCCTACCGACGATTGCAGAAACAAAAACGCGGAAGTACGATTACATATTTTATAATTATTTATTATATGTCATTTAAATTATTTGATTATCTGATGATTTTTATACCCTTGCAGAGGGTATTATAATTTCAGCTAAAAGTTTGCAACGCAGTGAAGGAGACATTTCTGACCTTATAAAGTATATATATTCTTGATCAGCATCACCAGGAGACTCGATCATGTCCGCTATCCGTCCGTTTTTACGCAAACTAGACCGTCAGTTTTAAAGCTATCTGTTTGAAACTTTACCAAAAGTTGTCTTTTTATTGCAGGTATATAAATCGAAATGAGCCGGATCGGGCGACTATATCAAATAGCTCCAATAGTTTTAGTTTAACTGTTGTTTTTAATTTTTTTTGTTTTTCTTTGGGTTTTGATAATATTATATTATAATTTGTTATTATTATACTATAGAATTACGGATTTAAATAAATTATATCATATAGCTCCCATAGAAAAATCGACAAATTAAAAAGAATGAAAATGAAAAAAATTTAATTTTGCTGTTTTCTATTTACCAAAATATTTCTTAGGGATATATCAATTATTGACTATATCGGATTACGCTTTTAGTTTTGTCAAAGTCGAACAACAATATCATATAGCTGCCATAGAAACAATGGCAAAATGCTGCGCAAAATCGACATAGCTTCATTGTTTTTAGTAATATAGGCGTAGAAATCGAAATGTAGTCGTTTTGTAATAACTGCAAGGGTATATACATTTCGGCTTGCCGAGGATTGCTTCCTTTCTTGTTGCAATTAAAAAACTCACTATGCTTGGGTCACTTTGTTTTGTATACACCATTATATATTGACAAAAAATCTTCTAGGGAACAAAATCTAAGCTAGCATCTTTTCTTGTTTGAGTTAAATTTATTGGTCATTTGGTATTATATTTTAAATTAAATTTTAATAAATATTTTTTTTTAGATAATTTGCGTAATGGACGTTTTCATCAGCACCTGCGCGACACATTCGCACCGTTAGTGGTGCGGTATGTCGATCTTATGGAATCTTCAATAGCTCAATCAATTCATAAGGGATTTGAAAAAGAACGCTGGGAAAGCAAAGGGTAAGTATACCTTTTTGATTCCCTTATAATCGGAAAAAAATAATTGTATCAATAATATATGCACATATTGCAAACCATATTCATATCTTAACTATTAAAAAATTGGCTGGATAATATTCAAAAATTATATTAAATTAAACGTATTAACTGTTTGGATTGGATGTTATTATTTTGGAAGTCAGACTGGCGAGGTCACACATACGTACATATATTAAAAAAAGGTCCCATTTTATATTCTGCATTCAAACGCAGTGTTTGTGTTGTATTTATATTTTTATTCTATAAAACTTTAGGATTAACGCTGCTTTGAACCCTGCAGCATTAAACAATGCTGCCCAGGCGCTCAATACAGCTGCTCTCAACCCATCAATGCTACTCAGCGGTAAAAAAGATCAAGTAAATTTTTATGTACCGAAGTTACCAAAGCAATCAAATTCAACAGTGGCCAGCGACGATATGAGGTTTTTAAATAAAAAAAGTCAACATATATATAGAAGTAGATTTTTAAATTGTCTGCATTTGGTTTTGCATTTTGTGTTCTGCCAAATTTTATGCATTGCCGAAAAAGTTTACAACTTCTCTGCTTTCAAATGCATTTCACGAGTTATTAAATATAAGTCAATATAAAATTATATCAAAATCGTAGTTTACACTTAATTTAAAAATAACTTGGAAAGATTCATTTTCTCATGATTTCATGTGTATAGCTTTGTTAAGTTGGTATGTTGCTTTAAAGAAATATCATTAAAAACCAGCATATTAATATAGTTTGATTCTTATCTGTTTTCAACTATAGTCTCAGGTATGTTTCTCGTCTTAATAGTAAGCTAAAAGTTGATTTAAAACTGAACAAATCTTTTAAACCTTTTAGCTTACTACGCAGGCGGCCTAAATGAATGAGAACTACATTTTTAAAATTTGATTTTTTTATACCCTAGTACTATAATTTTACCCAAAAGTATATTTTTGATCTCTTACCAAAGTTTTAGGTACCAATATATTTTCTTTCTTGCTATTTAGCAAAGTCTGTGACATCAAGTATAATATTTAGCTGCGTTTATAGATTTGGTAAACGTGTATTGCATTCTAGTCTTGCCCATTGATAAACTCTTAAATTCCATACATTAGGTAAGGGAAAGTTTTTATAACTTTTATCTTTTAATAGTCCATAAGTCAATAACTTTCTTTTTACCATATTGGTTAGATTATGGAGAGTACGAATTTCGTATTTAAATGAACAAAAATCTACAAGGTACATTATTTAAAATGGAAATTAGCAGACTTTCGTATACAGGAAAAACTAGAAAAATGACTCAATAAATGAACAGGCAGACATGAGTGCGATCAAATCAGACAAAAGTCAACTCCAAAGAGTAGTGAATATAGAATATTGAAATAATATAGTAATATTAGCAAAATATAATAACAAAAAAATAATATACTACCAGGGCCGATAGGGAAATTATCAACCGTGTATGGTTATAAAAGCCTTTTGAAATCCTATTTGGACTTACTCGACTTTCAAATCGACATCAGGGTTAACGCAATCATTCAGAATGGCCGTTTACACTAAGCAAACTCGATTATAAGCGATTGCCTATATAAAGAAAAAAAAGGGGACAAATTTTCAAAAAAGCTCGGGGAATTGGACGAAATCGGTATTATCTGCAACACAAGTTAATAAATATGAATATAAATATGAATGAATTTTGGCAAAAAACCTAAGAGGAATTGGAAAACTTCCACAAAGAGTTTGTTAATTTTACATCTTTAATCATAATTGGTTATCAATTATCTGCTAACTTAACAATAAAACAATATATATACAATTTATTCTAATCGAAAGAGTTATAATTGCTTTTTAAAATATTATATTAGAAAAGCTATTATAGTCGTTTAACAGTGCAAATAAATCTTAAAGTGATTGTGAGTCGACAGAGCCTATACGAATCTTATGAACGAACATAATTGCAATTCTTAGGCGATGTAGAACCGGTCAATTAATTTATGTTGGCATCGAATGGCAAAAATCTATCAAAGTCCCACTTAAAATTAAACAGTTCAAAATGTGTAATAAGAATTATAGGAATAGATGAAAGTTTGGCAATGCCGCGGTAATTTCAAATGTCCGACGTTGAACCTTTATTGTGAAGAGAAATTAAGTAAGACTTAATATCTTAAAGTGCAGCTTAGCACCTTTTCGGGACCATTAGATAGAAAAACGTCAATAGAGGAGATACCTTTTTAAAGGTTAATTTCTGAAAATGGATAAGAAAGATTTTCTTTTCGGTTTTCCGATCACTTTGTGCACAATTTTCAAATGAACTCGACGAATTTAGATATGTTTGGGTGAGAAGTACCTTCTGGAAGGGAAATCGAGTTGACTCTAGAAACTGTTGTAAGTGAAGCATCAGTGACGAACGTAAGATCCAGCTTATTTTTAATTTGGGCAAGAGATCGGATATCACATAGATAAAATCATGACAGATGCTAGATAAGAAAAGATTTGAATCAGCACAGGGAATATATGAAATATGTAGGAGCTTAAAGGCATACATCACAACTTGAATATCAGATAAGCGTTAGAATCAGATTTAGGGGGAATATCATGAGCAAGTCAGAAAAACGAAAGCAAAGCCAACGCTGACTTTTACAACAACAAATTCTATGCCCCACCGTCAACGAATGGAAACAACATGAAGGAGAAATAGTTGTTTAAAAGGTGAAAACCCTCTCTAAGTAGAATACTTATAAACACAAATTGCATGATTGCAGACAGGATTGTGAATTTGACTAAGTTCAGCCAAAGGCTGAGTACGTTTTAATAATGAATGGAAAAAAAGCTACACAGTTTTGTTGAACCGGATATATTGGGAGCCTGGTTTAAATTTCTTGACAGAAATAGTGAGTGTTCGAGAACACGTGACAGAGATTGGAATAAAAATTAGATTTAGGGGGAATATATGAGAAAGTCAGAACATGAAAGCAGAGCCAACACTGACTTTTACAGCAACAAATTCTAAGCCCTCACCGTCAACAAAAGGGAACAACTTGGATTAGAAATAGTTGGTTAAAAGGAAAGAATACTTATAAACAAAAATTTCATGATTGCAGACAGGTTTGTGAATTCGACTAAGTTTACCCAAAGGCTGAGTACGGTTTGATAATGGATGGAAAAAAAACTACATAGTTTGGTTTAACCGGATATGTCAGGTTGTCAAATATCTCCCTTCCGCTTTTTTTGGTTTTTGAATTTGGCTGCTTTGCGCAAAACGCTACATATCGGTATCGGGCAATGCTATATGTTGATGGAAAGGTCTTGACATAACCTACAAAACGAAGCTATTCATAACAAGTTTGGTTTTTGCGCTGAAAAGTTATACATGTGTAAACATGGAGTTCGCTAACGCCGAAATTCGCGGTGTTTTAAAGTTTTCCTTCGTAAAAGGTAAATACGCTAGAGAAACATTCCGTGAAATTAATGGTGTTTTAGGGATGGTACTCTATCACTTCGAACCTCGGAGTAACGGTTTCGACGATTCAGAAACGGTGAAAACGACACCATGGATAAGCCAGCCGGCGGAAGACCTGTGACGACGAATACCGATCAAATCATGGAAAACATCGAGCTAGACCGGCATGAGACATCGCGTGACATCGCCGAGGAGATAGGAGTTAGTCACCAAACCGTTTTAAACCATCTGCAGAAGGCTGGATACAAAAAAAAGCTGGACGCAAAAAAACATGTTGGACAGAGTCAACGCCTGCGATATGCTGCTGAAACGGAATAAACCTGACCCATTTTTGAAGCGGATGGTCCTGGCGACGAAAAATGGATCACATCCGACAATATCAAGCGAAAACGGTCGTGGTTGAAGGCCGGTAAATCGTCCAAAACAGAGGACGGTTCGAGAACACGTGAGAGAAATTGGAATGGAAATTAAAATTGAGGGAATTTTACGCGTGTGTGAAAAAATAATTTTTTTATACCCTTGCAGAGGGTATTATAATTTTGGTCAAAAGTGTGCAACGCAGTGAAGGAGACATCTCCGACCTTATAAAGTATATATATTATTGATCAGGATCGCGTCCTGAGTTGATATAAGCATGTCCGTCTGTTTCTACGCGAACTAGTCTCTCAGTTTTAAAGATATCGAATTGAAATTTTGCACACACCCTTCGTTCCTTTGCACGCAGTACATATGTCGGAACGGCCGGGATCGGCCGAATATATCCTATAGCCGCCATATAACTGAACGATCGGAAATGCCATAACTTTAGAGTTTGTAAAGTTAGGAAGTTGGGATTTTCTAAGGGTTTTATTTTTAATTTTAATTCGACCAATCAAATTTCATAAGGATCGACCGACTATATCCTACAGCTGTCATACAACTGAACGATTGGAAATGCCATAACTTTGGTGTTTTTAAAGTAAGGAAGTTGGGATATTTTATGAGTATTATGTTAAGAATGCATTATATGAATATTTTTGGAGAATATAATTTGCAGAATATTCTGCAAGGGTATATCAACTTCCGCTCCGCCTGAAGTTAGCTTTTCTTTCTTGTTTTTTATAAATTGGTTAACAATAAAATTGTCGGGAGTGACTTTGTTGACGGCCTCTGACCTATCCTCAGGAGCAAGGCGGAACGCAGAAATAGCTTTGCAAAGTTTAATTGAAAGTAATTCTGAAGAGCGAACAACACATATAAACGGCACCTCATCAGGGTCAGGACTACTTTGCAACAGCATTTATCTTGTCAGTATTCGTATAAGTACCAGACGGGAGACGTGGTTCGATTTACGTATATGTTCGCAGTCACTTTGGGTAATGAAGCGCTGCCCTATAGAGCGGAATCGGCTTTAGCGTTTGAAGAAAGGGTACCGTCATCAGTCGAAGCATTAGGCAATCAGCAAAATCGCCCAAAGCTCTACATAACTCAACTTTTGTCTATCACTACTTTCCTAAGCTAAACCTATGTAAAAAAAATCGGAGCTTAGTCTTAAATCAATATAAACTGCATGACACCTTACTTTTGCTAAATATAATCGATCGAGGCATGTAAATCATGGTACAAGCCATGGACTTGTGTGGTTCTCCGCAAAAAACGAAATTCGCTGGCATTCTCCTAATAGTAAGATAGGTTCAAAATGTTTTGCTTATGAACAGAATTTTTATACCCTTGCTGAGGGTATTATAATTTTGGTCAAAATTGTGCAACGCAGTGAAGGAGACATCTCCGACCCTATAAAGTATATATATTCTTGATCAGGATCACCTCCTAAGTTGATATAAGCATGTCCGTCTGTCTGTTTCTACGCAAATTAGCCTCTCAGCTTTAAAGATATCGAATTGAAACTTTGCACACACCCTTCTTTCCTTTTCACGCAGTATATATGTCGGAACGGCCGGGATCGGCCGACTAGCTATCATATAACTGATTGATCGGAAATGCCATAA